AAGCAGGAGGGTGACTGGGCTCACGACCTGTATTCCCAGTGGGAGTGCAAGTGCATTTACCGTCAGGGAACCAGGTGTTAGAGAACTACCGCCTTATCTCTCGAATATTCAAGTAAAAAACATTGCTGCGCAAAATAAGACCATAGAATCGAAGAAAATAAATGTTTGGATCATTTTCTCAAAACGAAATCCCTGAAGATTTTTCAAATCAGAGTATTGTATGATGGGATTAACGGGCAAGGTTTCCGGATATGCGCGGCTTGCTGCGTTATGCGGCTCGAAAGAGAGCCAATGAGGGAGAATTCCATAATGATCCGCAAACATGCAAATTCCAATCTCCCTTGTCTTTGTCGGTAGTAACATTCTGCCTATCTCAGGCGCCGCCGTACGGCTGCTGGTTGGACTAGAGAGAGCCCGTAAGGCAAAACGGGACGAGTGACTTTCCTAAGGACGATCGGTGAACGCCCCTCTACCATCGTACATTCCCGACCGAAGCCGACAGGACAACGAGCCCATGGCCCAGCGGTTAGAGGCGTTGGACTTCTAACTAAGAGGTCGCGAGTTCGAGCCCCAGGTGTTTCACACTTCGGGGTTGGGTACGACTGGCTGACGACGGTTAACAAACCAGAAATGGCCACTCCAGTCTTCATTGTCTTTGTCGGTAATAACATTCTGCTTACATCATGCGTCGTTGTGAGGCTGCTGGTTGGGCTCGAGAGAGCCCGTAAGGTACAACGGGACGAGTGACTTCCGCAAGAACGATCGGTGATCGCCCCTCTACCATTATATATATGACAGAGAAGGGTCAAGTACTTTAGAAACGATGAAGACACTTGTGCACAAATTTTGAAACCTGTCCCCAAACTCTTCAGATGTACCGGCAGCCTGCAGCGTACAAATCTTTTAACCTTACCTACTGTTAGCTATAGCTTGCGCCAATAAACGTGTATCGCAGTCCTCCATCTTGTTGGAATACAATACTCCAGTTTCTACCTGTCCTTGTAATCCTTATTTGCGTCTAAGTGATAAATATATTGGCGCATACCTTAGACGATTGCATTCGTTTGCGCAATTAGCACCCTTTATTCTACGAGATGCCAACGATGCATATATACCGAGTCGAGAGGATGCCCGACCACCTGCGATATGCGGCCTCCACTCCCCACCGCCGGTCAGTGTCCACGTGCAAGTCAGAGTTGGATTTCCAAGTTTTGACCGCAGTTTACTGCACCACAGCTGGTACAGAGCATTTCGCAGATGACTCCGTCCCCATGGAAATGGCCAATTCTGTTAGTAGGCCGCACAAACTGATCACACATAGTTGTTGCTCTACGTGTTTCCTGCACCGGATGTTCTTTCAGCTGTCTTCAAATAAAACCAGGCTCACTTTTCACATGCTTTAGACCGCCAGTTGTCCGGTTTTGAAGTCTAGGGACCGTAATGTTGGAAAAGTGTTTTTTTCGGACTTTTGCCACCTCATGAACTGACGTACTAAGAGGCTAACCATTTCGGGGGACTAATTTAAAAAAGAGTTCCTTGCTATTTCTTGACATCTGCTTGCCAATGCAGTTGACTTTAGCTCGACTTAGTGGACCGTTTACAGAGGTAGGTTTGCGAGGGATAGGATAGTAATTTTCATGTTGCAGGATGACTCCCAAGTATACGCTCCATCGGCAAACTGACGTCTTCAGTGATGTATGATGCTTCCGAGGACCGAGGACACCTAGGGATGGAGAATTTTCCTCGACATCTGTTTAATAAATATGCCCGGTTTTAGTAGAAGATAAAACCATTGCAGAGCACTTTTGTGGATCCAGTTTAACTATAAAAGCTGCGTCATCACAGCCCATTTCGCCTTGGCTGTGGGGAAAGTTGTAGCCTCTAACATCGGTATACCGGCCTTCGCCATAAAACCAGCTGTAAATGAACTTTTGGGGACGCCTTTTAGTTGCTGGTTGTACCTCCAGGCGAAGGGAATGTTCGCTTCTGGTTAAAAGACATAGGCGTTGAAGCAAAACGTCCACAGAGTTACCTAGGTTGCAGACCTGGAGGATTTCCTCAGTGCGGGGTTTCGATAGACACAGCAAAAACGATGAGAGCAGAGAAATCACGTCAAGTGCTAACATCGCCGCGCCATCTGCGACTTTGATCCCTTATAGTTGGTCTGGCGAGTTGTTCGACTGCCTAATGTAGGTTCCTTGCAATAGATTGATGGGCTCCTGAAACGGGCCACGAGGTAGATACGCATGGGGGGGGGGGTCCGGCATGCATTATTCGGGGTGCACACCCACGGCAGATGTCAAGATTAGGGGTGCGGTGGCACGCCCGATGCAGACTCACGCCATACAAAGTGTAATTTGTGCAGCCCCCTTTCACTTTGTTTTATAGAATCCTGGTCAGTGTCCCTTGTGGATCAGAGAGGCAAGGTGGAAAGCCTAGGGGCGGGTTTTTGCCGCACCTACAACCTGCACCCCCTCCCGCCTCCGGTCATCTTGACTATCATGATGCCGGGCCCGGCGAGGGATAGAGCGCGGTAGACGCTGCGCAAGTCTGCCACCACTCTAGACTAACCCACGCTCAAGTCACCCTCCTCGCTCTTACTCCGCCGTGGAGCACACGGTGGGCGTTGTCGTCGGAAACGATGATCGGACTGTCGTAGCTGGTTGGTGAAATAGTCGTTGCTTGGCGCACCGATTAAAGACACTTTTGGCTACGATTGATGACCAACTCGGAATTTGTAAGGTCAGTACACCGTGGCCATTGTCGACCCGTCCTGTTTAAAGTTCACAAGAAAACATGAGATTGAGTGGCTCCCTCCAAGGCGTTTCAGTGCCTTTTCATTATATGAGTCCTTTGACTTTATGGTATCAATAGTCTGTTGCATGAGCTCTACCCTAACATGGATACAACTACTATGGAATCCACCTTCATCAGGATGCCGGCGCGACCTCATTTCTTTGCAGGTAAGATTGGAATTTCATGTTTAAGAGAATGTAGCGCCCACTTTGCGTCACAACAAAGTGCTGTGAATTCACTTCGGTTCCTCAAGGCTTCCCCAGTGCGGACCGCCCCTACTCTGAGGCCATTGGAGTTAATTCGGTCGGAACGGATAGTGCTTGGTTGCTCTACATGGCGCGTTCACCCCTGGTCCTGGTAAACGCCTGATCGGTTTAAAAAATCACAAGCACACAGGGCTCCCGCTCCACAGCATGCAATTTCCGAGCTTTACAAGTATCTGCGAACACTCAACTGTCCCAGTGAATGCGTGTCACGTATCCTACGAGGGAGCTTTCGTTTTACGTCGGCCGCTGTGTCCGGACAGTCCACCGGCGCCGGGGCGGAGGGAGGCCAGTACTGGGGGAGGCGCCCATTTTTATGGCGATTCAACTCATACCTCGTTATAACCTGATGCACTAGAAGCCATTAGGACGGGCTAAAGGTTGTGACTCGGAAGATTGCCAAATGATGTGACAGCTCGATCCTACTCAGGGTCAGAGGTGCGGCTGAAGTAGCGCCTTCAGATGGCCATTGCGATACTCGGTTAGTCGAGATCCGAGACTCCATCGGAATGAAGTTTTGTGCATTCGGAACCGGGGACCACGGCGTGTCACGCGAATACGTGATGATTGACTTCGTTAGCTACTGCGCCCAAGACCACCGTGAGGTTGTCTAAACAGAACGCGGCGCGCGTAGGAGAGATAGGTGTAGCATATGCCCGTCTCAGTGAACAAACCCATACGCAAGTCGGGCGATGGCAAAACACGTATCTCGTATGTGCATCGAGATCTGCAACCAAAAGCTCCACGGCATACGGCAACGACAAGTACTACTCAGGTTCGGTAAGCGATGAGGACCTACAATGCGCCCCATCACACGCCACCGGATAACGAAGTTATTTCATCATTAACACTGGGCCCAACGTAGAGGACGCTTTTGAAGGACGATTCTCCCAGCCTTACCGCCAGGATCTACTATTCATTCACGACATTGAACCTGTATTTTGCATAATATACGGCTGCGGAAGCAGACCGGCTACGCAGACAAGGCGTTTGCGGGATGACCCTAAGCAGATATGAAGCCGAATGACAAGGCCAGGGGCCTCCGCCTCGCTACCGAACATGAGGATAAAGTGCCACTTTTCAGAGTTGAAGTATCAGGCGATGTTCACAGCGCCCAACCCTATAGTTCGATTAAAGTAAACGCATCCAAAAGGCGTCAATAGCAACCCTTACGTTGCCTGACTTAGCCTGTCCGCCATTGGGAATGAACATTAAAACAGAGGGGGTGCGGCCAGTAGACGCACACGAGATGGAACTCACCCGGTACTGAAACCCGGCGAATGCAAGTCTATCAAACTTCAAGGCCTTAGCGTTCTCAGGTAGTTAACTGCCGAAGGTGGGCTTCTAATGCAGACATATCTCGATGGATTAGCAGTCCGGTGAGTCTTTGACGTCTGGCTGGCACTACATTCACTGGAAGCTGCGCCTACTAGCACTAATAAGCCCATCAGCGTCGTGAAATGGATCAACAGAGAGCATGATATGGAAATGGGAGCCAATTATTATCGTCAGGCTTATTCAGCGCATTAGATAAGGCAAACAGATTTAGAGGTACAAACTATGTCGCAAACTTTAATCTTAGAAAAGGCAGAAGCGTCTTAACGTGCGGCTAACGAAGAATGTGGCTTAGAAAGCTGTTAAGATTGAGGAAAGGGTCCCGTCGCCAGAGACAAGAAGGCCTTATGCTGTGACCAAAATTCAATTTGGCGAGGCAAACGAAAGGTGCGACAACAAATCTTGCATATACCGACTGAGCCTGACTACCCATCGTACTGAAGCGATGAGATTTCAAATCTATTGTAAGTCGAGAGAGAAAGGTGCCGACGTCTGTATTAGCAAATATTTGATGATCTATACAACCAGCGAGGGAAGGAACTTCGCTAGCAATCGATGTGCTAAGCCGATGGAAGGTTAAAATGTCAACAAAACTAACAGACTAAGTTATTCAAGACGACTTCTGCGCAGCTTCTTCTGATAAAGGAGTTCCACCACATCCGAGGGCTTGACTAATTTTTCAGCCTCCACGTCCGGAATTTCCAGGCCTGAAACGGAAACCAAAGTCAGGGGGGGGCAAAGGAAAGAGAAGACACAACTCCTTTCGTGACAAAAATGAGCACTGCTTGAGTGGGAGCTAGTTGAACACCAGCTAGCGAGTATCTGCTTCGTCTCCCCTCATATAGCAGCCGCAGACCAGGACGTGCATGGCGATTCTTCAAGCAATCAAGTGGCTTGTTCCTGGATTCTAAGTTGACATTGTAGGAAATCGGCTGAGGTCTGTTGAACATAAAGGATTGCTTGATGCCAATGCGTGCTCCTGGCATAACCAAAACATTCAGGATCTAGCGTTCCAACGACAGCCGTAAGGCAAGTTGGTTGCCACATACCGGTGAACTTAATGTTAACTGACGCTGCCAAATGGGATCATGGTCGTCTATTTTTTAGACTGTCCATCACGAGTTTCTGGACGGATGCTGGAGGCAGATGGTGTCAGCGCAATTTAATGAGATCAGGGCTGTGTCTGTTCTGTCTCTATCAATCGCCTCCGGCTACAGATGGGACGCTTGATAAGGACGTATCTTTTTGTCCGTCCAATTTAGCTAGGTTTAAAGTGACGGCCTCGATAAGTGAAGCTGGGAGAGGGCGTCTATTGATGAAGCTCAGTCCCATCGATGACATGGCTCCGGAAACAACGATCTATGAAAATCAGCAGAATGCGGCTTCTCTGCCAAACGAAGTCGCAAAGTTAATTGGTTTGTAGAGCGACGCTAGAAATCCACGCTACACGCGAGTTACCGCTATAAAACCCGAATAGTACCCCTGGTAGCCAACGAGCGAAAAATTGTCGAGACCGACAGTTCCAAACAGCTCAGACGAAGTTTTTAAAGAACAGGAATGGATGCCGATAGACCCAATCTTGCTCATCGAATTTTTACAGGCAACTGAAACTGTTAATTCCTCTGTCACATACCAATTACGGCAAAGATCCGCGCAGACCAGGCCCCACATCCGGGCTCTGCTTCAAGGATATTAGTGCTGGACTGTTAGTGGAGATAAGCGTGACAGTTGGATGATTTCGACTCTCAGCCCGAGAACAATTGTCGGATGATTCAACGTCGACTAACGATGGTTGAAGAGTTCGGAAAACGAACACGACCTAGGGGTCGGTTACAACAGCACTGCTGCTCTACATTTAAATAAAGGTAATGGATCGAAGGTTCACACTTCTTTGATCTGGCAGTGGGATATGCATGCTTGTGAGCATACCAAGTCGTCCTTAGACAACGCAAAAAATTACGTAGGCAGAACAGTTTCCGTTCATGGAAATGCGTGTAACAGCAGTAATGTGACGCAACAGATGAGAGTACAGCGGTATTCCTAACCGCCCAACAGAAAAGGAGCACTACGGCGGCGCAAAACTCCCAAGAAAAAATCAGCAATAGTCAACATGGGAAGTCGCCACTTGTATGAGAGGCGTCCCGACTATGCAACACGGGGCGTTCTCAAAAACCATCACGGCTTTACACCTTTCGGGTTCGCGATGAAACAATTTCCAAAAAAACGAGATAATGTGTTTCGTTGAATGAGATCCCTGAGACGGGACCAATAAATTTAGGGCTATAAACTTGAAAACACGTCTGAACAAGTATAATTGTATACAAATGGACTCGGAAAGTATTTAAATGAAGAGCAGGACTCCCAGGAGGACAAAAGCATACCGAATTCATTTTCCAGTTCCATTATAACTTCAATGTGATCAAGGCTATCCAGACCAAGATCTTTCATAAAATGAGAGTCAAGGGTGATCTGCAAAAGTGGATATAATAAACGAAAAGTACTTTCTCCGGATTGATTTTGTCGTATGACTTGCACACATTCAGTACACGCTGCTCGAGGGCAGCGCGGTCAGGTGCATTTGAAAATGCCCTATAACTAGTGGCAAATTTAACATTACAACAAGAGGAAACAGCCCGCGTGACAGGAAAAGCGGAAACGGCACCACGCAGAGGACGGGCAAGAGCCCACAGGAGAGCAACCCCACTCGCCATTTGCGTATTAAAACAAAACTGAAGAATTATAAAATACAACTATAGAATCTTAATTGTTATCTTTGATAAGGTTAAGTTTACAAATTTGGGATATTCTTGTTTAGTACTTTAATTTCTGGTGGCATTTTTTCGAAAGCGAAAACAAAACAGTGGCAACGGAGCGATAACATATAACATGCGTCTGAGACACACCAAGACGTTGATTGCTCCGCAGTGTGCAGAAGCAAAAATCGCAGCTATCGCATGGGCACCGAACAACAAAAAGCTTGCTGTGTGTGGGAGCGACCGAATCATTGTACTCTTTGATGAACAGGGGGAACGAAGGGAGAGATTCTCTACGAAGCCAAGTGACCCTAAAGCCTCAAAGAAAAGCTACGTTGTGACCGGTCTTGCCTTTTCTGCTAATTCCACGAAACTTGCTGTCGCGCAGTCTGATAACATCGTGTTTGTTTATAAGCTTGGTGAGAACTGGGATGAAAAAAAATTGATCTGCAACAAATTCCCGCAGCAAAGCCCAGTTACATGCATTATCTGGCCCGCAGATCAGCCCATTATCTGTGGTCTTGCTGATGGAAAGGTGCGGTCAGCTAATCCCAAGACCAATAAGTCATCGACAATCTACAACGCATCGTCGTACACCGTCGCACTCGCCTCAAATTTATCAGGAAAGGGATTCATTTCTGGTCATGCAGACGGAAAGGTAGTACGCTACTTCTTTGACGACGAAGGATCAGGTGATGCGCAAGGAAAAATCGTTACTCATTCCGTACCTCCCTTCGCGTTGGCCTGGACTGGATCTGCTATTTTTGTTGCTGGTTGTGATCGACGAATTTTCATTTACGGAAGGGATGGAAAGGTACAACAGCAATTTGACTACTCAAAAGACGCCTCTGAGAAGGAATTTACAATAGCTGCCTGCAGCCCAAGTGGACAAGCTGTGGCCGTTGGAAGTTATAATAAGATAAGGATATTCACTTGGAGTCCCCGAAAAAGTATATGGGAGGAGGGTGCCCCAAAGATCATAAAGAACTACTACACCGTTACAGCAATGAGTTGGAAAAGAGATGGCTCTAATCTAACTACAGGAAACATATGCGGAAGCCTTGATCATTTTGACTGTTGTATGAAAAAGAAAATATGCAAAAACATATTCGAAATGAACTACGTTGGGCCCAGTCAAGTTATTGTCCTCAATAAAAAAACGAACGATAAGATTGTTTTGCGCTCCAATTACGGATACGAAATTGATGATGTGAAAATTATGGGGAATGACAATTACCTTGTTGCCCATACATCGGACACACTTATGCTTGGAGACATGCAAAAGAACCTACTAAGCGAGGTAGATTGGAAACAGAAAGGTATAAAAAACAATATTATTTTTACAAATCCAAACTTCTGTGTCATCTTTGGATCTGGTGAGCTCTTTGTTATCGAGTACGGTTCAAATGAAATTCTTGGATCAGTTCGAACAGAACACTTAAATCCATATCTCTTTAGTATAAGAATAAACGCACGAAAATGTAGCAAATCACCACCCTGCAAAAAGATTGCATATTTGCTAGATCCAAAAACAATAAACCTGATGGACCTGATTAGCGGAGTAACAATCGGCCATTACAGCCACGATATTATCATCGATTGGCTTGAGTTAAGTGAAACTGCAGCGCGCCTACTATTCAGAGACAAAAAGCATCAGCTGTTTTTGGTGGACGGCGAAACCTTCAAGGCATCCATTCTATTGCCATTTTGCTCCTATGTCCAGTGGGTACCCCAAAGCGATGTCGTGGTTGCACAGTCCAAGGAAAACATATGCATATGGTATAATATAGAAGCAATTGATCGGATCTCAACCATACCCCTTAAAGGCGGAGATATCGTAGACATCGAGCGCAAAAATGGGCGGACCGATATAGTAGTGACGGAAGGCATGTCAATAATTCGCCATCCTCTGGATAATGGCTTGATTGAATTCGGAACTGCCATGGATGACGAAGATTTCGAGAGAGCCGTCTGTTTCTTGGACTCACTGGAACTGAATGAGGAGACAGAGTGTATGTGGAAGAAGCTCGCTGACAGGTCCTTGAAATCGGGAAACCTTTTGGTTGCTGAACGGTCTTATGCTGCACTTGGTTTTGTGAGCAAAGCCCTTTACATTGCGGCCACAAGAAAAATGGTGGAGAAAGACCCGGAAAATAACGAATACAAAATGTACGCGCGAATTCTGATCTTGGACGGAAGACTGAAAGAAGCTGAGTCAGTCTATCTCGAAAATAATGCGGTCGATGAGGCTATTAAGATGTACACCAATCTCCGTAAATACGAAGAAGCACTTGAGGTAAATTCCAAAAGAAAACTCGGTTTTTAATTTCGTCATCTCAATACGAAATCCTTACATTTACTTTCATTAACTTGAAGCTACAAACCTTCTCGAGCTATCATTATATGTTCACTATCATAGCAAACTATGTCTTCACAACTTTGACCAACGCTTTTCAGGTCGCCGAGGCAAAAGGTTGGTTAGACATTGAAAAACTGCGGGATGAATATCAGACATGGCTTTCTGACACTGGACAAGATGAATTGCTTGGAGATTTGCGCTCAAAAATGGGCGACATTTCTACTGCCGTCACGCTTTACTTGCGGGCTCGCGTTCCGGGCAAAGCGGCTAGCCTTGCCCTTTCTGATGCAACCCTCTCAGAAGATCGTGATGTTCTTGAACAGATAGCTCACGTAAGTTAACCAGTCATATAGTGCGATAGTTTTATGGTTTTTGCAGTTATGTGGAATATATTCCGTTAATAAGCTCACTTTTAGCGAGCACTGCTTTGTTCGGTTAATCAAACACTACTTACTCGAGCCAGCCTTGGCTGTGATGGGGCGAAAGCAGAAAATGACAAAACACGCATATACATCTAACCGGTCTTGCTCCATGTAATTTATTGCCAACGTAAGGCTTACTCAGAAATTTTGAATGTCGCTCGAAGGGCCTGCTAAGGCAATTAGTAAAGGGCCTTGATTAGGTGTAGCAAAGCGTAAGCGGTTACACTTCAAAAACAGTCAGAATTTAGCAATGAACTGTCCACAATATGCTCTTATCAATGTTGGCCGAACAGAGTCGGCCAGCTGCCTCGTGTGGATGGGCGATGCCCGTTTTTTCCAATTTTTGTTGAAGTATCTACTAGACCTACTATTTTTATCTCTACTACTTAACCGGTCATTTACATAGATCTCCGCGATGAGGTAATGGACTCTTGATTGGTCAGCTTTGCGGTTACATGATATAAAAACAGTTCTGACAAGCGTTCTTAATATCCGATGTTTCCAAATTTATTTAATTCAGCCCTTTACTTATTGAAAGAGGGGGTCCCAATTGCATTGGGTGCATATGCAATGGGCGCTGATCACCATGCATTACATTTCTTTCAGCATTCAAATAGATGAAATTTATAGTCGAACTGGTGCCGAGTAAATCTAAAGCATTTGCATTATCGTCGTCGCTGCCACCGCTGCCGCCGTCATCATCATCATCATCATCATCATCATCATCATCCTTGTCACCACCGCGGTGCTTGATAGCCGATGGCATGACAGCGTTTCTATCATAGAACTTCCAGTTTGCCTCAATATACTGCCGCCCAACTGCTACTCTTGTTACTCATTTGCCGATTTGAGATTGAAAACAGGCCAAAACCAAATTTATTCGACCGAAGTTGTTGGGTTATATCTTCCAAACTTTGTTATACAATAATCCATATGCTACTAACTGTCTACATTAATGTAGTCTCTAGTTCAAGCTGGACGACATGAAAAGGCCGGTGATATGTACCAACGCCTGAAGCAGTTGGATGCAGCGATGCGTTGCTACCGAGCAGGAGGAGCATACCAACGAGCCCTCGATCTGGCGCGTTCCACCTTTCCCAGTGACGTCGTCCGTCTGGAGGAAGAGTGGGGAAATCATCTAGTTAGTCTCGGGCAACTGGACAGTGCGATACATCACTTTATTGAAGCCGGGTAAGTTTGACAACTGCTCTTCCACACGGCTTAAACTGGACTAATGAGCCTTCATCCAGTCCATTAGGCTGAATAGTGAGTCTGCTCGTCATTGAATTTTTTTATGATTACAAAGAACCTCATAGGTCCTGAAACTGTGTCACTTTGTAACTTTCTTTTCTAAAGCGTGAAAAGTGTGGCAACTTTTGCTGATAAAGCCCTTCCCAGCATAATAGAAGTTCCAAATGTAGCATGTGAAGAATGAAACATTTTTATCAGGTTGCAGGACTATCATGTTTCGACAATTTAGCAAACGTTTGTTCCCTGACAGAAACGGACGTAATAATACCGCCGTCCAATTACTTGTCCTCATATCATCAGGTGGTCTTAAGTTCGGACATTCAGGCTGTGGGAAGATACGGCTTCCTACAACGTTTTGTTTCGCACAGATGACAGCTTTCTGTACGTATGGGCGACAATTCAGACAATGTGAAAAGATTACAGTTTTATTGAGGTAGACTCGCTTGTGCTTAGCAACTGCTCACCTTCGTAGATTTCTTTTTATCCTCAAACACTTATTGGTCTTCTGAACTCTCTTCATGATGCTCGGAGAATTTAGAGAAAACAAACGAACGGTGTCCAATGTCAGGCAGCTTTATATTGTATGTCAGTTTAAATGCCACGTAAACTATCCGCAATCTATAGCAAAGGAAACTTTAATAAACATAGCTTTATTAGAATAGTACCTCTATGCTTAAAACTGCAGTCCGCCAAAGTGTTTAGATTGTTGTAATAGCCACTGAAGAGCACTCGAGCATTAAGATACTTTTGACTGCTGCGCAGGATACTGCAGAAACTTCATTCTTTTGAGGTGGAAAAGCATGGGCTTCGGACCTGAACCATTTATTCTGTCAGCCTCTACTAAAAGAAAACAGGAGTCTTGACGGAGCCCACTTTTTTTCACAGACTTTCATATAATAGTTCATTTCGGATTACTGAACTTAATT